ATTATTGTTACAATTAAACATGTGTTATGCTACTACTAATAATTGTTATCTGTATCATTTTATTACATTATACTGATATTAATATTAACACTATAATTATTTCATTTTCTTTCCCACTCTTTCTCATTCCCACTGCAGGCTTTGCTTCGCATGGACCGAAAATTGGATACCAGAGCTCGTCTTGCTCGCGTAGATGAGGTCATGCAAGAGGTGAGAAGACTGAAGTCTGTTGTGTAATGCTTCCGCTTGACATGTACATCTCGAACGTTTTAAGCGTTAGTTCAATTTCCACTTGCAGAATTTATTGAACATCTTAGTCCAAGACAGGACGTGGAAACTTTGAGCAAAAAAATCGTTTTTAATAAATAAAACCTTACTGCTTTTAAAAAATGCGCTGCGCCGAGAAATGGAAATACGTCAATCTGCAGACTCTTGGATAGTATGGTATAAGTCTATGGTCCATGTCATTTTTAGAGAGTGGTGTTTGTACGTTCGAAGAGTAAATATAAAGATTGATCTAGAAGAGATTATTTTTTTTTTAAATGAGACAAAACATTTCTTCATCATTGGAGGTGGCAGCTCTAAAACTATCATTTGTAGACTATCGACGCTGCTTTTTGTTATGGGGAATAAACCCTCGACATTTGTAAAATTGAATTTTGATGATTTGTGTCACGACGCTGTCAATCTTTGGGCATTTGGAGTTATTAATATTATCTGAAAGCTTATTCGTTTGCCTTGCACTTCATGGATAAAAACCTTATCTATCATGAATAGAAGTCGAGATATTTTTCATTGAAGGGGGTGAGAGTAGCATGGTTTAAAAGGTAAAATTAGCAGAAAATGGCGATAAAGTTTGGTAACTTCTATAAAACTGAAAACTGAAATTCTGCAGATTATGTGCCATTAATCAACGTTTTTGGGAGCAATTCACTTGAAAGTGTGTTTTTATATGGATGTGAAAGGCGTTGAGCCAAAAAACAAATATTTGATAAAATGTGCCAACTGGAGGAAAAATGGCTGTATCTTCGATTTCAGTAGTTTGACGAGCGCTTAATTTCACCACGAGCCGTCACATTTAGACAAGCTATAACGAATACAATTACAATAGCTTCGTAATTGAACAAGGTGCTGAAATAAAAATCAAGCTGCATTCCTAACACAATGTGTGCTCTGCATGTTTCAAATAGACTCACGGTTATGAGGGGATAAAAACGCCCTCTTTGTTTTTTAAATTCAAAATGAGCTCTTTTGTCTAACAGATGGGCCTCATTAAATGCGCTGACTCCCGAATTGGAGCAGCTAGTGGCTCCAGGAAAGGTATCTCTGGTGGTGAGAGGAAGCGGCTGTCCTTTGCCTCTGAAGCGTTGACCAACCCACCCATCTTCTTCTGTGATGAGCCAACGTCTAGCCTGGACACTTTCATGGCACAGAGCATTGTGCAGACATTGCAGGTGGGCAGGTTCTTGTTTGAAGCCAGTCTTGAGCTCTCAAAACCATCCGTACATATACAAATGAATTGTTAGAGCATGGTAATTATTATGCCTGATGATCTCGAAGACTTAACATTAATTCCCTTGATTAACCATGAGGAATTATTTTCTTTAGAGAGCAGCAAACAATACACACATATATTTATATATATAGAGAGACAGCTATAAATATTTAAAAAATGAACAAAAGATAACAAGAGAGATAGAGGATGAGGACGGAAGGGGAGAGAGAGGGGGGAGAGAGAGAGAGAGAGAGAGAAAAAAGAGAGAGAGAGAGAGAGAAAGAGAGAGAGATAGAGAGAGAGAG